TCGTGCAACACATACCTTGAATACATCATAACATTTCGTAATGTAGAATTAATACTAAACACTTCTAATACCTTAGTGTATGGATCAGTCAAAACAAATTTAGCATAGGCGATAAGGTACCTAAACACATGATAGGTTGCGTCTGGGGTACTTTCGTCTAAATTCTCAAGATGCCATATAACGAAAGTATTGGCAGGAAAACGAGTTCTTAAATACCCTAGTCAAATCTAGACTCTTGTATGGATATTATGAATAGGATTTTGTTCGGAAATGTCTAATCTCTCACCGTTTTCTTAAACCAATGATTAAAAATGACTTCAGGTGAATGAATCCTTTAGATACAAGATATGGTTTACCAGTTATCAATTATCAAAGCACACATCACTTGAAAACTCCCAACAGAAACAACAGAACTGCGTAACGCGTGTGACTAGAAGAGAAAATAATGATATCAAAATATTAACTTTCGGAAAACTCCCATACAAGAAAGAGCAATAACAGTCAGTGAACTTGAGAAGACCACTAACTGAAAAAAACTATTTAAGAAAAAAATGTTTTCCTGAAAAACTGTTTTCAGAAAGAGAATTTGTAAATGTCAGTCGATACTAACGCTAACTACTCGGTCATTGAAAGTCGAATGTTTCCCGTATGGAAGCAGATACAGTGTAACCCGGATGTAAGAGAGTTGTCGGGACCGGAGAAGAAGTCTCTTATATCCGGGTTTCTCTTATATCCGGGTTTGGTCTAATTTATATACATTAAAACAGGCTTTAATTTGGGACCAGAGAAAAATCTCTCTTATATCCGGGTTTCTCTTATATTCGGGTCTCTTATATCCGGGTTACACTGTACTTTCATAATTAACATTCTAATAGAAACCATTTGTTCCGAGTTTCGTATTATTTCTATATCGTTTGCGTATAGATTATGCTTTCCTATTGTTTAAAATAGTTTTTTGCGTTGTAGTTTATTGAATACAATTGTGTAATTTTGACAAGCAGAGAGCTTTGTACATTTTTATTTCTTATAAAACTAGCATTATAAAAATCCGTAAGGCAGCCGACCCGAAAAAAAAACAAAAAAAAAAAAACAGATTTCATGAGGATAAGGGATAATTGATCGAATTTCGCTGCACTGATTGTTATTGATTTATAAGGATGGTCTGAAGGCTGCAACAAAAACGACGAAAATATGATACGAAAACATAAATCAAAATAAATAATAATTATTTATTTTGATTTATGTTTTCACCTTTGTTCTATCCCAAACCGGGATTCTTTAAATGTTACTCTGTCACTTGATTTATAATATGAAATGGAAAATTATATCCAATCAGAGATTTTACTTGAGGACATTCAAACAGACATTTAGAAATCACTCTTTGGCTTCCATCAAAGGTGAAAGATTTTCAGGTTCGATTGCTTGGTAAATGTTTTTGTTTTCGTTTACTTGTTTCGTATCTTTGTTGTTCTGTCTGATGCATTCGCGTTTTCCATTTTCGTTTGTGTTTTTTAGCCGAAATTGTTTTGTCTTCTATCATCTGAGATATCTTTACATTTTCTCTTTTTCCCTGGATGTTGTTTTTTTCTTTATGAATCGACAACGCACAACGGACTTTTTAAAGAGCAAAGATGCAAGGAATTAATAACTCTATACCGGCTAAAAGGGGCTTAATTGAAGTCACAAAAAGGCCTGTGGGTATATGAAGGCACTTTGATGACGAGTAGATGAGATACGGTAAAGTTACCGAGAGCAATTGTTTGCAGAAAAAATATTTAAAAAAAAAACTTTCTTAATTTGACTACGAAAAATTGACTTACCGTGTCAACAATTGGGTTGGTGCATAATTATCAGGCGTTTTAAAATAATATTCATTATGAACAAAGAAACATAACAATTCAACAATAATATTTTTAAATGATTATTCCGTGGCGTATGATTATCGATACACTTTTTTATAACCTGATAATAAAATAATATTTTTATTAAAAAACATGTGAAAAAAACCCAGCAATTTTTATTAACAAATAACTCGCTTACAAAAACACCTGATAATTATGCACCATTCCAATAGATTCAACCGTCTTCTTCGAAGTAGTCACTTTTTCGCCTGCACCTATTAATTGACAAACTTGTGACTCAAGAATCCGTACTACATTAGGTTTTTGTGTGCATTTCCTCGATGACCCAAAAATGACTTTCAGCAAAAAATCATTTTTATAATTTCTACTAACCTAAATCCTGAGCAACAGTCAATCCAAAATTGTCTCAAAGCCCGCTTCACCCATGCAAGCTTTCTTGCATACGAAAGACTTGTGAATGGTCGTCAGGTTTAGTCAGCCCTTATGCACTCTCACATAACTCTTCAGATCTGCTAGTGGCCCGCATAATTTGTCACAAAACTGACATCAATTTCCTGTAAGTTGATGTGGATGAATGCCAAACTAGTTTTCTTTGCATGGTTGAAGGTCATATAATATTAGATGACTTGAAAGTCCTGCTTTAAATAAGACACTACCTCAGATTTTGCATAACTGATCAGATTGAAAAGTATTTAGGTTTAGGCCATGTCTCGCTTTCTAAAAGCCTGTTTCAAGATTGCACCATCAATCCTCTTTCCGCCAAACGCTTTACAGACCTTTTTTTACCATTTACCCTCATAGATATCGATTTTATTTCAACTTTTCATTATATATATATATATATATATATATTATAAATTAATTGATTTAAAATATGGTTTTTTCCGCTACACAGTTCTAACCATGTTTAAAAAATGGAAGCTAAAAGCCCTGAATTTAATTTTGTAATTAAATTAAAGACATTAGTTCCATTTCATCCTCAAGCGTATATATGTATATAAATATTAGAAATCAGATCAAAAGAGGTTGTCTGCTCAAGCATGAGTAGTAACAAAACAATAATAATCTTTGGAGTAATACGAAATACGTACACATACACACACACACACAATATATATATATATATATATATATATATATATATATATATATATATATATATTAATAAATATACATCGATAACACGGCTCGGAGTTTCATGCGCAACGCAGTCATAAGGTACTGAGTATAGACTGACCGTTGCGTGATTTAAATTGTAATAAAAATGTCTGTTTATTGCAATGTTGGCGCAGTTATATATTATACTGGGATTACAGTTCCTTAATTTTTAAAAAAAAATATTTGGTATTTAAAATAAGCTGGACTTATTTTTATGCCTACATGTAAACTTCAATTCATTTCTCTAGTTTAATATGATAGTGTTATTTAAGTGGTTTAAGATAAGTGATTTTCCAACAAGACATAAATTAAATCTATTACTTTTTCTATTCTAAGATTTGTCTCTTGCTATAATATCACACACATTAATAGATGTATTTCCACAATTATTTAATTGCCAGAAGTATTTAGAGAAAGCAGCTTTGTTTATGTATTTTATATTGCCTAAAGTCATTCGATGATGGTAGAAAGGAAATTTCCAAGGATTTTCAATGGAACAAAAATAAAATTAGACATCTTTCCGGAAAGTATGCTAGCTCGGTATACAAAATTATCAGGTATACATTGACCGCTTAAGGGAGAGATCATATTTTTTCGGCAGTTGCACTTATTTTAAAAACATTAACATTGTCTTTGTTGGAAATATATTCATTTAATCTGTTGTTGTTATGTTGGGATATAGTTTTATCGATGCTACTAACTTTCTTAGATGTTCTCGTCGATTTTAGTAATAATACTTTTAAAACTTCTATTTATAAAAAACAACTTGTAAAGACTCTTGCCATCTTAATTTCTCTAGTGAATGCCCTCTTAGATATAAAATAGGTCTTATTAAAAATTTCCTCACGAGAGCGCACGAGAACTCATCCTCTCGCACGCTTTTCCTTAACGAATTAGACAAAACGCTGATTAATAACGGATTTCCTAATCAATTGTTGGATTTCCACATTAGGCGTTTCCTATCTAAGGTAGCTAATAGCAACGGCGAGAATAGAAACATAAACAATAACATTAATATTTTTTATAAAAATCAGATGAACGAAAATTATAAACAGGATGAATGCAGAATTAAGAAGATTATAAAAAAATGCATGACGCCAGTTGACAATAGCCAAAAAATTAGATTAATTATTTATTACAAAAAATTTAAAACCTCTAACCTTATAGTAAAAATAATATTTCACCTCCTAGAACAAAATTAAATAGGGCAAATTTTATTTACGATTTTAAATGCCCATTAAGGAATTGTATTCCTGATCACTCAAAATTCGTAAATAATTATATAGGCCACACTACAACATGTTTGACACGCAGACTCACTCTACACCTTTCTGATCATAGCTCAATTAGATCTCATTTAAATATTTATGGAGACCTACCGGACACTATTCGTAACATACTTGTTGACAACACTAATATAATAGCATCATCTACATGCAAAAAAGGCTAAAAATAATGAAAGCTTTATTAATAAAAACAAAAACAAAAAACAACACTTAATAATATTAATGAATATGGGCACAATAGCTTGCCCGTGTTTTGAAAAGTGAAAACATTTTATAAAACATACATACAACAAATTATTTCTTATTTAACAGTTAAAATATTTAATCCTTGAAAATGGCTAAATGTATAGCCGAAAGCGCTCAGATAAAAAGAATATTCAGCCAGTTTTTATATAATTTAACATCCGAAAAGAAAAAAATGATAACGCATGAGAACTTGTATAAAAACTAAATAAAAACACCTTGTCTGTCGTATTCAATGAAATGTGCGTGTATATATATATATATATATATATATATATATATATATATATATATATATATATATATATGGAGTATGTGTGAATATATGTATGTACTTCTACATATATATAATGTAAATTGGAGGTTATCTGGAAAATACTTGGTGTATTTAACCATATTGAATAAATGGTAGAAACAATTTTGCGAAAGAATAATTAAAAGAAAGATTTACCTTAAAGTACTTTTCCACTCGAGCGACATCTCGAAGCTCCTGAGCAAGTTCAAAAGCTGTAAGTATAGGATCTTTACTGGACAACGATATATACGCACCACTAGCCAGTCCTTTATAGGCGTTAAGTCTTGTCTTGGCAAGACGTAACTGATCAAATTGCAGTTTGTTACTGCACTCCTGACAGGCGCAATAATAATGATGTGGCTTTTGGATTGTATCCCCGCGTAGCAACAAAAGCTGAACAATTTCAAACTGATTCCTCTCGGCGGCCAGTATTAACGGAGTGATATCAGAGGAAAAGGGCGAATCTTCGCTGGTTTGATTATAAAAGTAGTCCGTTTCTCCAAATCGTTTGTTCTCTCGTCTAACGTCTTTATACTTTGGATGTTTCAAGATCGTCTCTGCGATGTTCTCGTGTCCGGCACTGATGGCCTGTAAAAGGGCTTCGTGGATTGTGGCTGTATTGCAGCGATCAAGCAATAATTCTACGACCTGAAAATTATACAAGAAAACAATGTTAAATATAATTAAATTTGTACTTAATACAATTCCCAAACTATTTTTGAAAACTTTAAACTTACACTTCTGCAGTGTGGCCCGACTGAGAAGAAAACGAAAATTGTATTTACTGTAAATAAATAACTATAAAAACAGGGAAGGCAATTTCTCATGGATGGCACCATTTTAATTTCGATCTGAAAAACTGCAATACAAACTAAGCTAAACGACACCCCAACACAGAATATAATAAAAAAATACACCAAAAAACATTTGATAATTTATACCTTACTCGTTTGAAGATAACACTAAGTGATAGTTCGTTTATAACACAAACGCTAAGGATCGACATTTTACTTTTATGTTGACAGCGAGCAATGTAACTTTCATAAAGAAGTAATAATTACGTCTTCACATAGACGTCCACTGCAAGCGCTAATGATACGATTGAATCCTTTCGTTCTACGATGTCAAAACCTTTTTGCTACATGAATTACAATATTTATAGCAGTGAATAATTGATTAGTGTGTATATCACTAAGACAATTGGCTTACGGCCATATCACGTTGAAACACCGATTCCCGTTCGATTGCTGAAGTTAATCAACGTTGTGCCAGGTCACTACCTAGATGGGTAACCGCTTGGGAATACCAGGTGCTGTAAGATTGTATGTGCGGGGGTGGGGTGTAACTGGATAATGACTCGGAATTATTAATTGGAGAGCCGAGTTCAATTCCAATTAGATTCGTTATATTCACTTACTCGCAAATACCCTTCGGAATGGTATGAATCCATCTCTTCTCTCCTCGGCTATGGGTTAATTAGTAAAAGTTATGCCCCTAAATCATTATTATCTCTCAAAAAATCTAAATATATTTTTGGCTTTAAAGAACCTGTAATGGGTGGAGAAACCGTAGAAATCGAATCAATCAATCAATCAATCAATCGTAGACTATCTAGCGGTATCTGTTATATTAGCATGATATTATGTTCGAGCTCGGCATCCATAAAAAGCATTTCATCTAGGGAAAGGAAAACCCTGATTTTAAACCTCGGCTGCCAAACACAACAAGTCTATGGAAGTAAATCCAGAAATAAAACCCGGAGTGGAGCACCGAAGGAGTTTGGCTGTCAACACCGACAGCTTACCGGGAACACTTACAGTCAAACTGGCCTTAAAACTAAAGCCCTTTACTCTTTTGGGTCTTGTCGGTACGGGCAAGAGGGAGACATGTAGTCTGAGCAGCGCACGAACTCCATATACCATCGCTTAAACCTGCTCCCTCACCAACAAAGGACTGATTTTTGACCAAACAGGGCGATCCGTTATCTCGCGGGATAAACTGATACACGCACGCACGCGCATGTGCCAGCACGCGCGCGCGCACACACACACACACACACACACACACACACACACACACACACATCCGTCCTGAGTAAGACGAAAAACGATGTCCAACAGCAAGGCCCCTGAACAGGAGGTTTTGAGGAGCGTGAAACCACCATGTCCACTCTGACCCGGAGTGGTAGCACCTGTTAAGGTCCCAGCTGTGGGCAAATAATTAACCCCCAAAACTGGGGTCAAAACACTATGAAAGTTTAAAAATTAGTTTTAATACCAGCAATGAATTTTTGAAGGAAAAAATTATTACTAGCAATATATTTTTGGGAAAAAAATATTACCGGCAATAAAATCTTGTCGGCATTAAATAACCCACTGAGGTTAATATATCGTAGAACAAACCAAGCAAAACAAACCAGGGACACACACACACACACACACACACACACACACACACACACAAACACACACACACACAGATATATATATATATATATATATATATATATGTCTGACGGATGCAGATCGAATCTTCAGAAAGCCACATTCCGAAATGATTGAGCCGAAATTACACCGACATCACGGTTCAGTGCAATCTGGAAACTACTGACACAGGGTTGGAATCCTCGTCACTTGACGCCTTCTCCTACCCAAAATGAAGAGAATAGTTTACTGCACTTCCGGCCCAAAACGAACTCATGTGCCAGGTAAGATGAGTTAATGAGTATACCAATACAAGTATGTCCGATCCCCATTGTAAAAGTCGACATTAAGTAAATTAAGAAGAGTTCATATATCGTAAATTCAACCAAAACCAACTTAAAACCATTTGCAATGTATTTTTTCATAGTAAAATCATTACCAGTTTCCTAATCGGGATGGTTAACGAGGTTAGGAGGCATGAGCATTACGAGTGAGTAGCGAGTTCAATCCTCAGTAGGTTACAGATACAGAAATCGATGTTAAATAAATGTAAAATCAACAAATCTAACAAATACTGTGAATGAACAATATCTGTTTATTCTTGTGTCACACTAATGGGAGATCCATTATATTTAAAACACGTAAAATAAGAAAATGTGGTGATTACAATCTACTTCCCGGTTAGATGTGGGTCTAGACCTCTTTTGTATATACATATATATATATATATATATATATATATATATAGGATCTCACCCTTTCAATGTCGAAACTCCTAAATGTAGCCGTCTCTCGCACCTCTGGCCTGTGGAACTCCCCTTCCTATTCCAGTTTCCCTGAGAGCTATAATCTCCAATTATTCAAATGTAATGTCAATCGACATCCCAGTTGCCCTGATCTATCCACTATCCTTCTCCTCATCCTCTCTATCACTCCCTATCTGATCTTGATCCAAATCTTCTGTAACCCCTTTGCGTGCTAGTGGCTTCTCGCCTTGCTTGGGGTGAAACGCTTAAATATATATATATATATATATATATATATATATATATATATAGGATCTCACCTTTCAATGTTCTAAAAGCCGCCTCTGCACCTCTCTGTGGAAAACTCCCTGAGAGCTATAATCTCCAATTATTCAAATGTAATGTCAATCGACATCCCCAGTTGCCCTGATCTATCCACTATCCTTCTCCTCATCCTTTCCTCTATCACTCCTATCTGATCTTGATCCAAATCTTCTGTAACCCCTTGCTCTTGCTTGGGGTGAAACGCTTAAATATATATATATATATATATATATATATATATATATATATATATAGGATCTCACCCTTTCAATGTCGAAACTCCTAAATGTGGCACCTCTGGCCTGTGGAACTCCCTTCCCTATTCCAGTTTCCCTGAGAGCTATAATCTCCAATTATTCAAATGTAATGTCAATCGACATCCCCAGTTGCCCTGATCTATCCACTATCCTTCTCCTCATCCTTTCCTCTATCCTCCTATCTGATCTTGATCCAAATCTTCTGTAACCCCTTGCGTGCTAGTGGCTTCTCGCCTTGCTTAAAATATATATATATATATATATATATATATATATATATATATATATAACCCTTTCAATGTCGAAATCCTAAATATATATTATATATCCAATTATTCAAATATCAATCGACATATATATATATATATATCCTTCTCCTCATATCCTATCTGATCTTGATCCAAATCTTATGGCTTCTCGCCTTGCTTGGGGTGAATCTTAAATATATATATATATATATATATATATATATATATATATATATATATATATATAGGATCTCACCCTTTCAGTGTCGAAACTCCTAAATGTAGCCGTCTCTCGCACCTCTGGCCTGTGGAACTCCCTTCCCTATTCCAGTTTCCCTGAGAGCTATAATCTCCAATTATTCAAATGTAATGTCAATCGACATCCCCCAGTTGCCCTGATCTATCCACTATCCTTCCTCATCCTTTCCTCTATCACTCCTATCTGATCTTGATCCAAATCTTCTGTAACCCCACTAGTGGCTTCGCCTTGCTTGGGTGAAACGCTTAAATATATATATATATATATATATAGATCTCACCCTTTCAATGTCGAAACTCCTAAATGTAGCCGTCATAATCTGGCCTGTGGAACTCCCTTTCAAGCTATAATCTCCAATTATTGTAATCAATCGACATCCCCAGTTGCCCTGATCTATCCACTATCCTTCTCCTCATCCTTTCCTCTATCACTCCTATCTGATCTTGATCCCTTCTGTAACCCCTTGCGTTAGTGGCTTCTCGCCTTGTTTGGGGTGATCTTAAATATATATATATATATATATATATATATATATAGGATCTCACCCTTTCAATGTCGAAACTCCTAAATGTATCTCGCACCTCTGGCCTGTGGAACTCCTTCCCTATTCCAGTTTCCTGAGAGCTATAATCTCCAATTATTCAAATGTAATGTCAATCGACATCCCCAGTTGCCCTGATCTATCCACTATCCTTCTCCTCATCCTTTCCTCTATCACTCCTATCTGATCTTGATCCAAATCTTCTGTAACCCCTTGCGTGCTAGTGGCTTCTCGCCTTATATATATATATATATATATATATATATATATATATATATATATATATATATATATAGGATCTCACCCTTTCAATGTCGAAACTCCTAAATGTAGCCGTCTCTCGCACCTCTGGCCTGTGGAACTCCCTTCCCTATTCCAGTTTCCTGAGAGCTATAATCTCCAATTATTCAAATGTAATGTCAATCGACATCCCCAGTTGCCCTGATCTATCCACTATCCTTCTCCTCATCCTTTCCTCTATCACTCCTATCTGATCTTGATCCAAATCTTCTGTAACCCCTTGCGTGCTAGTGGCTTCTCGCCTTGCTTGGGGTGAAACGCTTAAATATATATATATATATATATATAGGATCTCACCCTTTCAATGTCGAAACTCCTAAATGTAGCCGTCTCTCGCACCTCTGGCCTGTGGAACTCCCTTCCCTATTCCAGTTTCCCTGAGAGCTATAATCTCCAATTATTCAAATGTAATGTCAATCGACATCCCTAGTTGCCCTGATCTATCCACTATCCTTCTCCTCATCCTTTCCTCTATCACTCCTATCTGATCTTGATCCAAATCTTCTGTAAATCTAGTGGCTTCTCGCCTTGCTTGGGGTGAAACGCTTAAATATATATATATATATATATATATATATATATATATATATAGGATCTCACCCTTTCAGTGTCGAAACTCCTAAATGTAGCCGTCTCTCGCACCTCTGGCCTGTGGAACTCCCTTCCCTATTCCAGTTTCCCTGAGAGCTATAATCTCCAATTATTCAAATGTAATGTCAATCGACATCCCCAGTTGCCCTGATCTATCCACTATCCTTCTCCTCATCCTTTCCTCTATCACTCCTATCTGATCTTGATCCAAATCTTCTGTAACCCCTTGCGTGCTAGTGGCTTCTCGCCTTGCTTGGGGTGAAACTTAAATATATATATATATATATATATATATATATATATATATATATATATATATATATATATATTGCATAAGCCAGCAACAGCCTAGTTCTTTGAAACGGACAGCCAAATTTATTCGTCCATATGATTTTATTATCATAATGATGATAGTTTGTTCCGAATCAACAACATTTTTTAAAAGAGCCGAATACAGAGAATTGTTGCACATACTGTGCCACAAGATCTCGAAACAACCTTCCACAGACTTTGAATTCAGTGTTGTTCTTCTCCTAAGACCTGTTGCCACACAAGGCTATAGGACACAGTTTTAGTTTCTATTCATCCATAGTTAACAGGGATATATAACAGAGAGATAGGTTTATACA